CATGTTCTTATAACATGTAGGGGAGAGAGTGAGAGTGAGAGTGAGAGAGAGAGAGATGGGTTGTAATTTTTTTTTAATCTTCCACGTTCTTCCACATTTTTTTTTCAATTACTAAAACTTATTTGATTGTCTCAAAATTATATATTTGATTATTATAAAACAAACTTTTTAATTAATTAATTAATGTGTATTTGATTTTGTTGTTGAACCAAATAAAATAAAATAAGATTGAATGCATATTTAGTTTTTGTTGTGAACCTTAAAAAAATAAAAAATAAATAAAAAAATAAGTTGTTAACATTAAATATATTAAAAAAGAAAGAAAAAAGATTGAAGGTATATTTAACTTTTGTTGTGAACCTTAAAAAAAAAAATAAATTGCACTCGAAATAAAATTGTTAATGACATGGACAGGCCCACGAGACATACGGCCCACAGCAAACCACCCCGAACCCATCGCCTAGGACCAATAGCGTAACCCAGTTGGCAAAACCCAGGACAGCTGGAGACCATCTAGACACGGGGGGCCAATGGTATTCGGGCACATGGCAGGTGAAACACGGGCCACATCAGCAAACAAAGATCTGCAGAGTTATTACCACAACACATCACCATTAATGCAACCCATCACAGCATTTATTACGACAATACCTCCCCGTCGGAACAGAGTCCCCCCTCACCCTGAACAAGGTAAGCTACGGCACAGACTTTCGGCGGAAAGGGGGCACGTCACAAGGGACAGTGAAATGATTACCAAAGGATATAAGCAACAAGAAAAGCACAAGAAAAAGGTTAAGCTTTTTATCTCTCCATCTTCTTCCCTACATTTCCCTGTTTTCCTCTACTAATTCTCTCGCCGGAGGGTTCACTGGGGGACTGCCCCGTTCCCCTTTGGACTTGCTTGCAGGTCATTTGACGGAATCTCCACCCGAAGCCGGAACCTGAAGAACCTAGGCCAGCCTGACCCATCCACCCGGGACGGACTGTATCATCAGTTGGCGCCGTCTGTGGGAAACTGGTGGTTTATTCGCGCGCTAGTTGTGTTCGCTATCGCTGGAGCCCTCCTTTCTCACTATCATCTTTTTCCTCTCACCCGTCCAGGTGTATGGTCACGACTAGGTCCATGGCCTTCCACCATAATGCCACCGATCATCAAACAGACCCTTCCCATCCAAACAACCCACCATAGTACATCATCGAGCTTACCAACAGTATTAACCGCATGGCCGAGCAAAACCAGGCCCTGATCAATGCTCTGCTCCAAAGAAACCTCCCTGCTCCACCCCCAGACATTCCACCCAACCAAGAAAGAACCCCGAACCACACGGCTCCACCACCCCTTCCCCCCAACCCAGAAGGTCTACGACCCCCTCCTCCTCCACATATGAGCCTACCACCTCCATCTCCATGTCCGCCAGTCGTGCCACTACCCCCTGAGGGGGAAGCCAGCAGTGTCCAGCCCCCATTTACCGACCATGGAGACAACATTCCCCTCTGGGACGCGGAACTCCGAGCTATGAAACTCCAACTACAAGGGGTCATCCAGAACATCCAACACAAGCCCTCAACCACCGCCCACTCGCCTTTTGTTGCCTCCATCCGCGATAAACCGTTGCCCGCCAAGTTCAAAATGCCTACCATTGACTCATTCGATGGCACAACAGACCCCGTCGACCATCTGGAAACCTACCGCACCCTCATGATCCTCCATGCTTTCCCTGACGAGATCATGTGTCGAGCCTTTCCAGTGACACTAAAGGGATCAGCTCGATTGTGGTTTAGCCAGTTACCGGCGGACTCCGTCTCCACCTTCCAACACCTCAGTGACTCTTTCCTGAGCCACTTCATCGGGGCCCAGCGTCAGAGACGCCCAGCCACCCAACTCCTCAACATTCGTCAGACCGAGGGGGAGTCGCTCCGCAGCTTCGTCACCCGCTTCAACACCGAGGCCCTTCAAGTAGCGGAGAATGACGACAAGGTCATCCTCACCGCCTTCATGGTCGGCCTGCGGTCATCGGATTTCCTTTTCTCCCTCTCCAAAAACCCTCCAACCACCATGGCAGCCCTCTTATCCAAAGCCCAGAAGTACATGAATGCTGAAGATTCTCTGGCCGCTCGACAAGAGCCCACCCCTAAAAATCCGACCCCTAGAGACAAGAGGAAAGACTCCGAACCAAGAGCCGCCCAGTATAATAGCCAAACACCCCACTATAATGACCGACCCCCCCGTGCCGACCGGACGACTCCGACCAGACCGCCCGGTCGGTTTGAGCGATACACACCTCTTAACTCCCCTATGGAGCACGTCCTCAATCAGATCCAACGGGACTACCCCCTCAAGTGGCCCCTACCTTCACGAAACCCTTCCACTCGAAAAGATCAGTCCAAATACTGCCGCTTCCACCAAGACCACGGTCATACCACCGACGAGTGTATTAACCTCAAAGATCAGATTGAGACCTTCATACGCCAGGGCCGCCTCAGCCGATTCACAGATAACCGCCCTCCACAGAGACAAAGAACCGACCTCACTAGGAACAATCATCGACAAACACCACCCCGCAACCAAGGCCCACCTAACCAAGGCCACGATCGCCCACCACCACAGCCTCGGCCTCCTGGTAATCCCCCTCCACCAATCAGAGAAATCCGAGTTATCTCAGGCGGCCTTACTTGCGGGGGACCATCCCGCTCGGCTCAGAAGGCAGAACTCAGAAAAATTAGGCAAGGCTCAGACAAAGCGGTGGCGACGGTGGACCGACCTCCCAAACAGTCAAAACAATGGATCGAACCCATCACCTTCACCGACACCGACTGTGCAGGAGTCCGTTACCCACATGATGACCCCCTTGTCATTTCCGCCATCCTCTCCAACTACAAAGTCAGACGAGTCCTCGTAGACAACGGCAGCTCTTCAGACATTATCTTCCTCAATTGCTTCCGCCAGCTCAAGATTGGGGAA